ATAGAGGAAGAGGTTTTCAGCGTGTAAATGTTAGTGCCTCAGCATCGAACCCCAGTCGGAGTCAAGGCCATGGTAGAGGTGGCCGGGGTGCAGTAGATGCCGCTGGTGTGACTTTTGTGTCAGCAACTGGTGATCCCATCTCTGGTAGAAGGTGTTTTGTCTGTGGAGATCCATCGCACTTCGCAAATGCTTGCCCGAATCGTGGTATCTGATGCACCTCATAAAAGTGTACTTCAGTAACCTTTGTGTTTAAAGATTGATGTCGTTCTTCAGCGTAGATACTACTAGATAGTGGATATACAAAACAATATCAGGTTGGGTTCTTAGCAGTCTATAGTGATGTTTTAAAAGGATTAGGATTAACATTGTTACATATGAATCTGCATTATAATGGGAACCCTCTTTGTCAAATGGCAATGGCTTTGGAAAGTGGAAAAAAAAAAAAACCGTATACGAACGAAATTTCAAATAGGGACATTTTAGAAAAACAAGTTTAAATAATGGATTCGAATCCTCTGCTTGATTTTTCTTTAATGGAATTTGTGGGAGCAAATTTCCTCACGAGAATATTCGATTGGAAAGATTCTCCTTTCTTCTTCGCCGCCTATTTCTCCCTGCAAAATAGAACAAATAAGAGGACCACACCCGGAGGTGTTGGCCAAAGGCCCTCCGATGCTTGAATAGTTCAATTGAATCGTATAGAAAACAATAGCTAATAGGGTATGGAGATGTGTTTATAGTGTAAATCGAGCAGCCGGAGCCTTATGTAAAAGAGGGAGAGAGAGGAGGTGGTTAGGGTTTGAGAGGAATTTTCTGCATAGTTTCAGTAGAGATTTTAGACGTACCTCAACTCTTGTGTGTGATAATCTTTTTATAGTGGTCTTGGAGGCTAGGGTTTCAGAGGAATAATTCTGTAGATGGAAATGAATTATTCCTCCTCGATTTGGAATTGATTTGATTTATTAAGGTAAATCAAATCCCTAATTGTGGTAGGTATCAAATCAATTCCTAATTTGATTAGGTAACTCTTCATTTAATTGGGAATTATGGTAGGAATCAAATCAATTCTCAACCTAATTAGATAACATTCCATTTAATTGGGTAATCCCCAATTAAATTGAGTAACTCCCAATTAGGTTGAATAACTCTCAATTAGGTCAAATAATCCCCAAATGGAAGGAATTATTTGACCTAGGGTCTGATTTAATTCGGTTCCCACAAATGCCCCCCAGCTTCTGCATGGCACGTGGTGGCATGTAGGAGATGTAAATTATCCGTTGGGCTGTCTAGCTGTAACTAGGCTTCCTTCAGTGAGTTGGACTCCTTTTGCAGATTGGGTTCCCAATTGGAGTGGGCTTTTGACTGTTCTTGGAGTTGGGTTCCCAGTAGGAATGGACTTGAGATTCCTTCTTGACCTAGGATGCCCAACCTATGTAAATGCAGGGCTTCTCTTCACTCTTCTTCACATTGCAAACTTAACTTCTCTACTTTCTAGCTTGAGAGAGAACTTGGAGAATTCGTACTGCTTGTCAAAGAGGGGAGTCACCGTGCATCTCAAGGTAAGTTGAGCACGTATATTTCTTTTTCTTGGTCTTTTCTTCTTTTTTGCTGCGAAGGCCAATTGGGGGAAGCCTGGCTGGTTGTCGTTGTGGCAACGACTGGCAGTGAGCGGCAGCCGTGGTGGAGCAGGTGGACCAGCTGCTCTCTATCGTGGCAGGTCTATGTTGGAGCGTGCTTGGCCTCATGCGTTGCGAGCCACATCAGTTGAGCAAGTATTGGGAGGAAGTTGGTGGTCTGCCCCCTGCCCAGGATGTTGAGAGATGGAAGTAGAATAGTCTAGACTTTGATGATCTGCCAGTTGGGCAGGAGGAGTGTTTTGCCAGACTCTCCTAAAAAAGGTAGGTTGTTGTCAAGTCTTCAAGAAACAAAGTTCCGACTTCACGGGAGAAAGATGTATCTCTGTTGAGGAAGAAATAAGTAGAAGTTACTCCTCCTTCATCTAGTAAGGTTAAGCACCTCTTGGGCACAGACAACAAGAAAGTTGGAGCTATGCGAGACACTTGGGACGTTTCGCTCAAGCCTTCTGCTAATAAGCTTGGAAATCGTGGATCTGCTCCGTGAACTAGTCCGCTCGCGAACTAGTTCACCTGCAGAGAAGCAAAGAGATGTTGGTATTCATCTCCGAAGTTCAAGTCGTTTGCACCAATCAAGGGATGGAGATTGAACTGGGAGGTGTGCTCATCTGCCCAACTATCGCAATTCAGCTGTTGAGTCACGAGCAGTCAAGCATAGAGTTGATTCAACATCGTCGACTCCTTTGGAGGTGAGGATGGCGCCGATTTGAGAAGGCAAAAGAGTCATCTGTCCAAGTAAAGGGTTCTTCTACAACGTCAGCGGCTGATCCCAATATGGACAAGTCCAGCCCTGCAGGGGATGCAGGCGTGTCTGATCTGCTGAAGACGAACCTCCTGTCAAGCCCTTCTGCTTGCTTCAATCTGGTTTATCTTGAGACAATCTCAAGTTTTTCCTTGGAAAAACAAAGGGAAGCTACATTTCATTCTCTTAAAAAAGGAGTAGTTCTTGTTGTGAACATGGAATGAGCTGAGCAGGCCGCTGAAGAGGTGGTAGTTGAAGAGGATGAAGCAGTGGAGGATGCAACAGATGAGGTAGTGGCGGATGTCGCGAATGAGGCAGGTGGAGTTGTTGAGAGCGCGGCTGATCAGGGGGACCCCGAAAAGGCTGTAAATCAGGGATCTCCTGTTGGCGTGTCTGAGTAAATGAAGACTCATTTATTTCTTTTCATATTTTGTAGTCTGCTTTCTTGTTTAGAATAATTGGTCTTGTTTGACCATCTTCTTTTTGTTGAACTTGGACGGTTGGTCAGCTTGCTTAGGAAAATTTTAGTTATTTTTTCAACTTCAATTTGCCTATTGCCTTGTAAACTGCTTGAGTAACCAGCCAGTGTCTTGACGGTGTGTCGCTCCTAGGAAATTTATAGATACCAGGGTCCCCCTTAAGGGATTTCGGGCGTATTCTGCATATCTTGTAGGATGTTTTTCCCTTATGAAGTTGGCGAGTGCCAGGGTCCCCTTTAAGGGACTCCGGGCGTATTCTGCACATCATGTAGGATGCCTTAGTCATCGCACTGCGTCTCCCAAAGGACGCTACTTATGGGCAACTGCGTGACTACCTTGCCTCCTTTAGAAAACGAATAGGAACCTGGATACCTCCCTCAGAAAGCATGTAGACCTTTTGGGAAATTCTTGGCTCTTTGCGTCTCTCTTAGGACGCTTTTTAGTGGGCTACGTCTCCTAAAGGACACTTCTAGTCATCGCCCTGTGTCTCCCTTAGGACGCTTCTTATGGGCAACAGTGTGACTATCCTGCCTCTTTTAGGAAACGAATAGGAACCTGGATATTTCCCGCAGAAGGCATGAAGACCTCCTTTTAAGAAATTCCTAGCGCACCATGCGTCTCCCTTAGGACGCTTTTTACGGGCTATGTCTCCCGAATGACGGTTCTGGTCGTCGCCCTGCGTCTCCCTTATGACGCTCCTTATGGGAAACTGTATGACTATCCTGCCTCTCTTAGGAAACGGATAGGAACCTGAATACCTCCCTTAGAAAATTCATAGCGCACCTTGCGTCTCCATTAGGACTCTTCTTTGCAGGCTGCGTCTCTCGAAGGACGCCGCTTATGGGCAATTGTTGTGTTTTGTGGGCAGATGAGACATTGGATAATACTTTCGGAGATGGTGAGCATTCCATTGTCGTGGTATTTCCTTCCCATCCATGGTATCCAGTGTGTAGCTTCCTTTGCCCCCGGACCGGTTGATCACATAAGGGCTCTCCTAGTTAGGATTCATCTTTTTTGACCTTTGTCTTGGTGCAGTGATGAAAGCCTTTCTTAGCACGAGGTCACTTGGTTGGAACTGTCTGACCTTAGCTTTTTTGTTGTAGTAAGACTTCAACTGCTACTGATAAGAGGCGACCCGGATAATAGTCTTCTCGCGCTCGCCCTCAAGTAAGTCAAGGTTGAGCCTTATCTGCTCGGAGTTCTGATCAACATTGCCTACCTCAAGGCTTATGGAGGGGACAATGACATGAGGAGGGATGACCGCTTCAGTCCCATAGGTGAGGGAGAAGGGGTTTCGCCAATCAATCTTCGTTTGGTGGTGCTGTAAGCCCATAGTACTCCTCGGAGTTCATCCACCCATCTCCCTTCGACGCCTTTTAGCCTTTTCTTCAAGCAGTCCAATATGACTTTGTTGGATGCCTCGGCCTGTCCATTTCCTTGTGGATACCTCAAGGTGGACAAGTGTTGCTTGATCTTGTATTTCGTAAAGAAGGCGGTGATCTGCTTGCCAATGAACTGCGAGCCATTGTTGGTAACCAACAACTATGGGCAGCCAAACTGACCGATGATGTTTCTCCAGATGAATCGCTCCACATCGGCTTCTTTAGTAGAGGATAGAGCTTCGGCCTCGATCCATTTAGTAAAGTAGTCGGTGGCTACGATCATTGTGTCCTTCTTAGCGGGTGCCGATAGCAAGGGACCCACTAGGTCAATGGGCCATTGCATGAATGGCCATTGACTGTTTTGTGGATGGTAGACTTTAGCAGGAAGGTTAGGGAACGGCTTGTATCATTGGCAGTGATCACATTTCTTGACATATTCGGTGAAGTTATGTTTAGAGCCTTTTGGGTAAGTGACCTGCAACACTCGCCGTCGTGAATTTTGCAAAGAACCTCAAGTGTTTGAGGGTACTTTATGCAGGTAAGATGAGGGCCGGAGTATAATATGCGAATGAGCTTGTTGCTGTGCATGTAGTATCTCGCGGCCTTCTGTTGGATCTTTCTAGCTTCGAGCTTGTCCGTTGGCAAGTTTCCATTCATCAAGTAGTCGATGATGGGGTCTTGCTAGCTGGGGTCCTCGTCAATCTGCATTGTCTCAATATATTCTATTTCTTCAATGCTTGGTCAATCAAGGTGTTCAACTAGGATGGAGCGTCTGAATTGGGTATCTAGCACTGACCCTAAGTTGGCCAGTGCTTCTGTATGCGCGTTCTCTGCCCGAGGTACTTGTTGGATGGTGAAGATAGGAAACACCTTCAATAGCTCTTGGACTTTGTCAAACTACATGTTAAATAACTCGCCTTCTAGATCTTGTTCTTTGATGTAACCGACGGCAATAGACTAAACTAGCAAATATTAAAACACTTAGAGTCACACAAGAATTATACTGGTTCGGCAGAACTTTTGCCTACGTCCAGTTGTGATTTCTCTAGGTAGAGAAATCACCGCTCCTTTGATTAATAATAGAGATTACAGAACTTTTGCAACCCTAGAACTAATCTCAAAACTCTTGGCTGTCTCTGGCTGTTTTTCCTCTCTTTAAAATAAGCCTTGCCACACCCTATTTATAGATATAGAGTTGGCTTACATGTCCCAAGGCTGATTGGATTCCTATTCCTAAGTAGATTAGGAAATTACACTTATCCAAATCCTAATAGACTTCTAGAAATCCAAACCTGAATTGAATAAGGAAAACTGAAATTCTTTCCTAATCCCTCTAGGACAAGAATTGGTATACCTCTAATTTTCCTAAAACAATCCTAAACCAACGAGGACATATTTGACGAGCCAAAATCCTAACATGCTGAAATTTCAAGGAAATTGCAGTCATATGCCATGGTAGAGAGGTTTTTAGCAAAGGAGTCTAAGAATGTAGCAAGGTTGAGTGTTCCAAAAATCACACATGGCCAGTGGAGTCTTTCTCACATCAGAACCAACTCACTGTTCTCATCATCTAACTTTTATATGTGTCACGTCAGGCCCAATGGCTTATACCCCTCTCCAAAAGAAGAATTATTTCCATTTTATGTTATCTTAGTGTTGGGTATGCGATATAATACTCTACTGATTATTTATTTGATATGCTGTAATTTGGTACTTAATAGGAAGTGATACCACATCAAGGTTGAAGCAGTTGGGAATGGAATTCACCGTCTGGGTGTTTAAACATGTAAGGACCTTCTGATTTGGTTTTGGGTTGTGCTTTTTATTTTCGAACTTCTTTGTGACCTATGAAGGTGTTAAATACTTGCCGAGTGATGTTTAACACCTTATACAAGGGTTCCGCATACTTAACTTTGAACCCTTTCATGATTGGGTCCACTATAAGGGTTCCACATGTTAACTTTATGGTTGTTGTAGTAAGTAAATATAATGTGTTCAGCATTAAGGTTAGTTTTCGTAAGTTGTCTCCTCTTTATTTATAGACCAAAAAGCTAAGTCATTTATTTAATTTTTTTTAGAAGAAAGGTAAATTATTTATTGAAAAGGAAATTACAATCTGTGGACAATCAGTCCACATCAACAGATATGAAACTAAAAGCACTCCTTTGACAAGAAGAGTCATTAAACATATGCTACAATGAGAGACAATTACGACTAAGCTACAGACCCAAGAATTTAACAATTCTAACCATCAACTCTAGCCAGGCCCCTTGCCAGTTCACTTTATGAGTATAAACAATGACTTAATCTTATACAATAATACTAGGGAGACCACATTTTGTACCACAATTTAATACCCTGTGATGTGGGCATTGAGGTTTACATGCCATGTCAATTTATGATTATATCTCAGTGGATATATCAATGTGGTACTAAAAAGTGGTACAAAAATGTGGCTACCCTAGCAATACTAAATCTTAAAATAAGGTTAAAAACCATCTTGGAGAGTGACCTGACATGGTGACTGGTAGAGGCTGGTATTACAATATTTTCCTTTTAATCAAATAATATGTTAATGATTCTTATACTTTAATAATTTATATAAATATATATGATGCAGGGATAGCACCAAATATTTTGTAGGTCCTGTGGTTAGTGTCTGCATACTTATGTTTGAGGCTTGGATCTCAAATTTGCAGAGACAAGATGACATGTGATACTAATTTTTCCATGCTAGTTAAATGAGCTCACAAGATTGCCTGAACTGGTCTAGGTTCAGTGTTCGTCCTGCTCCACTAGTGGTCAGAAGGGTTCAAAGTTGGTCAATTGTAAAATGGTTTAATGCAGAAGGATTTGGATCATGTTGATTGGGGTTTCCTAGACTTTGTTCTGGCTAGAAATTGTTTTGGGAGATCAAGGAGGACTCAACCAACTTTTTAGTTGTCATTAATGGTAGACCCGGGGGATAGTTTTGAAGTGTCACGGGCTTGGACAGGTAGACCCCCCTTTTGCTGTCTCTTTTGTGATTTAATGGTTGATCTCTTGACACTTCAGTAGGTTGGTGGGTTTGGCTAGTGAGTTCAATTTGATTCAGTGCTTTGAGGTTGGTGTGAAGTGAACTCAGTTGTCCCATCTTCTGTTTCCTAGATGACACCATTTATTCACTTCGGGATAATATGGTTAGATTTGTTAATCTGGTTGAGATTATTTTGTTATTTGGGATGGGTTTTGGTCTTTGGATAAACATGTCCAACAGTGGTTCGGTGGGTATTGATCATAGGATTGTGGAGTCCGAAATAGCTGGGCGGCCTTTGACTTATTTGAGGTTTCCTTTAGGTGGTAAGCTGTGTTCTTTGAGTTTTTGGGATCCTGTAGTGGAAAATTTCCTGAAGAAGCTGGATGAAGGAAGGCTTCTCTCTCTATAGGTGGTTGGCTTGTCTGGATTTAGTCAGTCTTAAGTAGTATTCATACTTCAACATATTTCATGGCTTGTAATGCTTTTGTGATTGATCACCGAAATTTGTTATTTTTCCATTATTTCTGTAGTGTTACTATTCAATTGACATTTGTTGTGCTTCACCTTTTATTTTATTTTATAGTTTTTATTTATTTATTTTAAAGATCTCTGTGTGCAGTCAAAGATTGATCAACTTAAACTCATGGGCCCTGTTATTCTGAGTGGAATTCTGAAGTCACTTGATACAGTTTCAAGTTCAGAATCAGGTTTGCTTCCTATGCAATGAACGTTCTTTAAACTTCTGTTCAGTTGCACCTTTTACAATTAGATGAAAATGGCAGAATTTCAATCTGATTGATATAGTGCACTAAATCTACCCAGATGTTACTGTGAGGGACTCCAAAACTTTTGCTTATCAAGCAATTGGGTTGCTTTCACAGCGTATGCCTCAACTTTTCAGGTTCAATATCTTCCTTTTTGTTTCTTCTGGTTCCAGTTTTTATATTCTTTGACTTTGTACATATTGTTCTTCTGATGTTCCTTTCATGCTTTGTATTAGATTTTATAGTGGAAAAATATTTGAATACATGTTTCCCTCCTTCCAGAGATAAGATTGACATGGCTGTGCGCCTTTTCGATGCATTGAAGGTGGAGACCCAGCATTTTCGCCTCAGTATTCAGGAAGCAACCAATTCCCTTGCCACTGCTTACAAGGTATGGCACATGTTTTCTACTGGTTGAAGCTATGATACTGTTTGTCTACTTCATGGAATCCTATTCATAAAGCTTTTGTTTGGCCCAGAATTTAGAAATACCAATTTGAACAAGTCGTTGAGTTAGGTTCATTTCCCCTTCTTTTTGATAAGGAACAAAAACCATTGATTTAGAAGCAAAAACAAAAAGAGGGCACAAGAAGTATGATCATTTTTTGTTTTGTAATGTTTTCCTTTCCACTCCTCTATGATATTCAATTGCAGGATGTGCTCATTTGGCATGGTTCATGGTTGTTCGTTGTATTCCTGAAAGAGTTGGGATACTCCGACTGCTTGTACTGCATTGTACTGTGAGAGTTATAAGCTTTGGGGAAAAAAGAGGGATATGGTGCTAGGGAGATGTCTGTGATGACATTTTTAGGTGGCATTGATCATATAAACAATGAAATAATAGAAAATACTTTGAGGGAGGAGTACTCACTCAACGTCTTTGGAGATTTTGCCCAGAAAGAAAGGCATTATGGCTTAAGGTAATAAAAGCAAATATGGGTTACCAGACAGATGTTGGGATGCTAACATAGAGACGTTGGGATGCTAATATAGAGACTAAGGGGAACTTCTGGAATCCTTGGAAGGACATTTCTCAAGGATATAGATCATTTCAGAATATCTGGAAGTTGGTAGTTGGGAGAGGGCTTAAGGTGAGACTCTGCGATGAAATTTGGATCGGGGAAAATTTATTGGAAAATGTTTTTCCAAGGTTACATAGGCTTACCAATGCATCATGGAATGTCCATTGCAAATTGAACAAATACATTCTCATTCCCTTTATAGCTGGGATTTTTGTTTTTGGAGAAATCTGAGAGAGAGAAATGGTGGATTCAATTCCCCGTGAAATGTTTTTCCAAGTGCTTTTACATGAACCTCTAATCACCAGATTGGAATCCCACCATGTCGCAGCAACATTAGCACAAATGTCAATGTTTGTTCAAACCAGTAGGACCGTAGACACTGAAATTTTGGCAGTACTGGAGAGAAATTTTGTTGACACTTGCTGTCAGTGTTGTCAAAATGTTGTGAATATTGGAACGATATTCTCTTTTATTTGTATTTTTCTTCAGAATTGTTTTGGTTCTTATATAGATATAATACTTTAAGCTTTTCCAAATCTATTTCATTCCCAGTTTTATTTCACTTTCTCGCATTTGTTCTAATTACCAGTTCTGTATATTCAAATTATTGATACTGGTTGCTATCTGCCTTTAGGGAGCTCCATCAACAGTGTTAAAGGATCTGGAGACACTTTTGCTGAAAAATTCTCAAGAGGTGTCATACTTTTGCTTTTTTTAGAGTATTGGCGGCACTAGTTTTCTTTCATTTATTTCCTTTCTTCATTTATTGGATTTGAATTTATTATTTAATTGGGTTTCATAAATTAATTTCCTAATGGAAGCCTGATTACGTGGTGCTTACTGTTCACCAGGAACAAAGCGAAGTACGATTCTGTGTAATGAGATGGGCAACTTCTTTATTTGATTTGCAACATTGCCCAAGTCGTTTTATTTGTATGCTTGGGGCAGCTGATGCTAAATTGGATATAAGGTATTGAAGTTTCCATTTTGCACTTATTATAGTATACTCAATACCGTCACATGCTGCAAGATGTATGTAAGGAGGAATCTATTGATCCTGCATCGGCATTTTAGCCTCTTTTTAATACATCAATCTTCATCTTATCTTTTCAATGTACTCTTAGGAATATCTACTACTATTTATGTCGGTCAAAGACCTACGACCTCCCTCAATTTCTCTAGGTAGAGAAATCACCGCTCCTTTGATTAATAATAGAGATTACAGAACTTTTGCAACCCTAGAACTAATCTCAAAACTCTTGGCTGTCTCTGGCTGTTTTTCCTCTCCTTAAAATAAGCCTTGCCACACCCTATTTATAGATATAGAGTTGGCTTACATGTCCCAAGGCTGATTGGATTCCTATTCCTAAGTAGATTAGGAAATTACACTATCCAAATCCTAATAGACTTCTAGAAATCCAAATCTGAATTGAATAAGGAAAACTGAAATTCTTTCCTAATCCCTCTAGGACAAGAATTGGTATACCTCTAATTTTCCTAAAACAATCCTAAACCAACTAGGACATATTTGACGAGCCAAAATCCTAACACTACAAGATCATCCTTAGGTGCTTCGGCATATATTCACTTGAGGCTTGATTCGTGAAAAATTGGAAATTTGAGTAGATGGCTAGCTTCTTGATTGCGAGTTCCCTTGCCAAGCACAGGCCGGCGAGCAATGCCTCGTATTTTGCCTCGTTGTTCGAGGTCGGGAAGCCAAGCGTGATAGCTTACTCCAACAGGGTTCCATCCAGGGTGGTGATGACGACACCCGCTCCAGCTCCCTTTTGGTTCGACGCTTCATCTACGCGCAATTACCACATGTCACTGGGTTGGCTAGGTTTAGCGGAGGTCCCGTCTGCTTTTGAACTTTCCTTATTTTTGTTGACCAATTTCTCAAAGTGGTATTTTTTATTTTATTTTTGCTTTTTGGGGTTTTGAGGTGAGCTGATAGAGTGAGAAGGGCATGGATGAAAGAGACGAAGTTATGATATGGATTGAATATGCCTAGGTGCTAGGAAATATGCTAACTTATTTTTTTTGTGGGCAAGGGGAAATGTACTAACTTTCAAAGGCAAATTGGAAAACTTTTAAGGGGAGGAACCTACCTTTCGTCCTGGGCTAGATTTTGGTGGAAAAATCTGTTCCTTTCTCTATAGATTGGAGGGTTTACGAGAGAAGTAGACGAACCTACCTTTCATGTATTGAAAAACTGTGTATTTGTATTTGTAGTTATGGATATCTGAAGTATCTAGCTGCACATTGGAAACTGTAGAACACCTCAACAAAGAGAGACGCCCGAGTAGCCCAAGATTTCTCAAATTCCAAGGGTCATTTGTACGCTTCTTTATGGGAAAATCTGTAATTTGTGTTTGCTTTTATTTTAAGGTGCAATTTTCCGTGATAATATACTTAGCTGATTAGTCTGTTTGGTTTGTAATAGGCAAAGACTTTCTTGGGTTTATAGAAGAACAAAATTACATTACATACAAGTGGTGCCCAAGAACATTTTAAAAGCGTAACAGAATTTTAAGATTTTCATGGAAAATTAGGTTCAGTTGTGAAAGGTAAATTGATACCTACTTACACAGAACAGGGGAGGACAATTCAGCTCTTGCATCATGTTTATACCTGTATGTTTTATTATATATAGTTGCAAGGCAAGTACAGGTGTTTATGGCGTCCATAGATAGGCAATGCTTCTTGGTGTCTGTTTGAGGTAATATGTGGCCGCTGTGGAAGCAATTCTAATTTTTTATGTCAAATGTAGCGCTTTAAGGTAATAAGAGTGACAGTGTGATCCCTAATACTTCATTGTCTTTCTTGATAGTTTCTTTTAATTAAGTTATGAAATTATTTGAAATACATATGAACATGCAATTCGCCTATGGTATTTAGGTCAAATATCAACACATAGAAACTCATTAAGATCAGTGAAAACCTCGAACAAGCATGTAAACCCTAGGAGTATGGTATTTACCCTAGACGAATTACAAATCCTAATCAGAAGAAGCAAGCCTCAAATTAAGTATGATATTTATTCTAATTTGCATCCGATTAACTCAATTAAAAGTCTAGATGGTGATCAAGCATCAAGATAAGAAACCAAGTTATTAAGCACAGTGATTAAGAATCCAACGTCAAACGGCAATCAATAGATAGGTAAAATAAGAAAACTAGATTATCATACTAGGGCTACATCATGCCCTAGCAAGAGAAAATTAGTTACACATAATCGTAGAATTCGACATAAGCAAAAACATAAGGAAGAAACAATCAAACTTAGCCAATAGCAGTGCTCTTCTGGTGTCTTCAATTTCTCCTAGTCCTTTCGTCTCTCTCAGGGATGTTTATCATGCTTAAATAAAACACCCCCACGTCTATTCCTACCCTAGCTGGGCTTTTACAGCAGCCCAAGATTAAAGAAAAACCTCATTAAAACATAAATCTAAAATGGGTAAGTAATTGACTCCTTTTCCATCAGTTAATTTGTAGGCACGTTTAAGGTTGTTCCTCCTCCGAGAAAATTTGGCAAAAATATGGAAATTGTAGATTTTTGTCTTATCTTTCCATCCATATATCACAAGCCTGAGGAAAAATTAGAAAAGTCTTCAAATACTCATTCTTCCACAGCAGCACAGTTTTGACGGGATTGCACCTTGTGATGACTTAACTTCAAAGACTGCTCTCATTGGCTGCTCAGAAAATTCTAGAAAAATTCCACAATCATCTTCAAGGTCTTAGCTTTCATCTCCAATTGGTCTCGTACTAAAACTCCACCAAAAAGTCGTATTTCCATTGGAAACAAATTACTTGCTCTGGAAAGCTGAAAATTGAGAAAATAAAGTAATAAGTCTTTTTTAAATCAAATTCTCCTACAAAAACTAAGTATAAAGAGTACATAAATGTGTAAATTTATGGACTTATCAAGTCCTTACTTTGGTCTTGAGAAACAATGGTTACAGACAAATCAAACCTACAAGTGAAAATATTTCAGGAAAAAATTAAGAACACAAACGACGGTTATTTATAAAACACGACGCAATAACATAACATCAGACGTAATAAATGTTTAAAATGATGGTACTTAAACAACGACGAAATAATATAATAGAAGACGTAATAAGAACTTATTACGGCGATATTTACATTCCGTCGTGATATTTAAATTCAAACGACGTTAATATTAATATAACGTTGTGGTATTCACATTCACACGATGTGAATAATAAGATACCGTCGTCTGTATAAGATTCCAAACCCTTCTTTCTTTGTCTTTGTATTTTATCAAATTAGGAAAAACAAAAACCATGGTTCAGAGAAATCAAAACTGCAATCAAACATTCACAGACAAAGAAAGAAGGGTTTGGAATCTCATATAGACGACGGTATCTTAATATAACTTCATGGTATTAACATTCACATGACGTGAATAATAAGATACCGTCGTCTATATAAGATTCCAAACCCTTCTTTCTTTGTCTTTGTATTTTATCAAATTAGAAAAAACAAAAACCATGGTTCAGAGAAATCAAACCTGCAATCAGACAAGCAAATAAAAACACGACGGTCATTTTAAAAACAATTTAGAACAACTTTCAGACGACGCTAGGACGACTGACGAACCGTCGTGGTCTATAAATTTAATCACGTAAATAAGAAGCTACCATCGTCTTATTTAGTTGAAGTAGTTGTGTTCAAAGTTGGAAACTTTCCCTCTTTGTCTGTATATTTTATCAAACAAAAACCGTATGAGCATGCAAAACAGAAACAAAAATAGTGAGAAATGTGATAGGATTTTTAGTACCTGCGCAAACAGGGTTAAAATCACTGAAAATACTTGCAAGAATACAAGGTAATTGTAGTATAAATGCTCATGCAAGGTCGTTGTCCCCAAAGATTGTTTGACTAATCTGTAATTAAACTAACTCTTAATTAATAACTAAAATAGATTTTATCAAAGATTTGAAGTTTATGAATTTGAAAAAGATTAAACTAACAGTAAAAGAAATCTGAAAGTTGGGAAATAATAACAGCAAAGAAGAAAAACGATTTATTTTTAAAGACTAACAATTTAGAGAAAACTAGGGCTTAGCCAACACCGTCGCAATCCTATGCAATTCTATCAAATACTTATGAATTTCCACATATATGCTTTGAAGGTTAGGTTTTCCTAATGCATATTTTCCTTGTGATGTTCAAGCGAAAATGTAATATCTAACATGCATCCGTCTGTGATGTTCAGATCAAATATAAACATGCAAGACTCATTAAGCTTTGTGAAAACCCTTTGAAAAACCATGCAACCCTTAAGAGCGTGATGTTCGCCTTAAGTGAACTTACAATTACTAATCACAAGAAGCCCTCCTCAATTTCAGGGTGATGTTCCAACAGAAATTGCATCAAATTACTTGTCTACATATCCTAATGGTGATCAATCATTAAAATAGATAGATAGTTTTAAACACAGTGATTAATAATTCAAAGCAAACATGCATCCATTCATAAGCAAATTAATAAAACTACATATTCATGCTAAGGCTTACGGCCTCGCCCTAGCAAAAGGAATTAGTTACACATAATCATAATTGAAATCCAAGAAAATATAATTCGAATGAGTAAGAATGAAAACACCTCAAAGTAGCGAAAATCCAAAACCCTAGCAATTACTCCAAAAGCCAAAAAGAAGTTCTAAAAGGAG